TACTAAAACAACTGCAAAACGGCAAATTATCGGTAATTATGTTTGTAGTTTTTCAATATTTCCCTTTTAGCTAAAGTCTTGAAATTTCTACACCAAATAGCGTTTTTCAATAGCTTCAATTTGATATATTGCCCAACGTTCAGTGTTGAGTATTTCTGCTCATAACTCAGAAAAACTAAAATACACTGGCTTCAATTTCCCCCCCTGAGTTAGCCTTCCAGTTTATTTATAGTTCAATGCACCCAACCTGCGAACGGGCATACTCTGGGAACGAGATGGACTCAAACGGCGCAGAATAATGTATACAAACGTATATACAATAATCAAGTGAAGAAGTTCTGAAATATTCAAAAGCTTTAAACAGACACCGAAACCCCTTTGGCATACATGTCGAAAATATCGCCCCCTCCCCTCCTCCCAATACTTCGTGAAGTGTCCGCCACTGTTTGAAATGAAATGTAGTCAGTGTGGATTATAACGGTCGGCAATCGGCTATTTGCCGAACAAAAACACTGAATGGCCGATTAATTTTATTCTGTACGGACATATTGACCGATCAGATAAAATACGCAGTTTTCATCTAAACGAAGTCCAGTTCAAAAAGCATGCAAGAAAAATAACACAAAACACACCAAGGGTTGGTACCATGCACAAGTTATAGTACCAAATTTATGTACCACCATGCAGAAAATTTAGGAACAACAAGGATCAAGAAATTTTCAGTTGCATGTATCGTTGGGACTGCTTACCAAAAGTATGATTGGTCATGATTGGTCATGCAGGAAGTGATCAGCACAACAAAATAATTGTAAATATTGAAATGCAGGAAGTGATCAGCACAACAAAGTAATGTAACTATTGAAAAGCTGCATGGCCGACCATGTTTAGCCAATGTCCAAGCAACTGCACACTTGAGCGGACATTTGTCAGACACAAGCGAAATTCTTATAAATAAATCCACACTGAACTCAAATATATGATATATATTCATTTCAAATAACTGAGGATGCCGTATTCAAGTGCTCACCACCATGCATGACTATCCATTATCTTTGGTTGATGTTCCACATAACGTTCAAACTCTGTTTTTTCCTCAATACTTCGTCGCTGGTCTTTAGGTTTCGGCAGACCTTCTTTAACAACAACAAAGTAATGAGTATATGCCTTTCTACCCCTGCCATATCTACCACGTCCATGTCGGATCATGTTTTTCTCGATAAATCCTCTGCCAACATATGACTCCGCTAAAAGCAATGAAAACAGTCTATTACACAGTGACACCTAAAAAAATGCACAACTTGTAACAACCTGCAGCAGACTTGTATCAGCCATGCTGTTTCAACAACTTGTCATCAGGATATGTTGCATTGCTTGTTCCCAACTTGTTAACAAGTTGTCATCGGCTTGTTGACAACTTGCTACAAGGTTGTTGAACTCAACAGACTTGTTACAAGTTATTCCAACAATTGTTGTCGTCCTGCAATTTAACAACTTGTTGAAAAGTTGTGAGTGACAATATTGTAGAAACTTGCGAACACATCTTGTTGACAAGATGTGAGATTTTTGCAAAGATTTCGTACATTCGTAAACTTGGACAAAAATCGCTTCCAATTTAATCCGTTGGGTCGATATCTCAGTGGCTAGAATGGCGGTATAGTCCGTAAGCGGACACTCTCAAAACATAGTTTAATGCAGTTGTCCACTTAAGGGAGATTTATGTGATTCCCTGCAGATTCGTAATTGTGGTTACAGCTCGGCAACTGGACTCTGTAGCTAGCGGTCAGAGCGCTGCATTGAAATCGCAGAGACTCAGAGTAGCTGGTTCGATTCCTGCCGGAGGGCCTAAAGTTGCATTTTTCAACTGAAAATTCTATAAGGGGCCATTCACAAAGGATGTCCGGCAACAAGGGCAAATAATGTTAGCCAATCAGCGCGTTTGTTTACATTTTGCGTTCTTGACCAATCAGAATGCCTGAAATTCGAAACATGTAAACAAAAGGAGTGAGAAAATAACACCTTGTTCTACGCCCTCGGTGACATTCGATATTAAATTTTTTTCGCCAAAACTGACAAATTCTGATAAAGCATGCTTTCTTCTTTAATTTCCTCGGGGGGATTTTTTAAATTCGATCTAGAACGCGAAATATTTATGTTTGAATAACAGTGTTTCGACGCGCGTAAAATAGCAGACTCTCACTTGCACTATCTTTACACACACATAAAAAATTGGTAGATTTGGCAGTTTAAACTTTTTTACCCCACACCACAGCTGACATGTTTTTAAATATTACCTATCTGATCTAATCGATCTCATTTCGCATCGGAAATGCGTCACAACGATCCAGGACTGACAGGTACAATATCTACCCAATATCGCATGACTCTTACTGTACATTAAAAGTACATATCCGGTTGGCAAAATGGCGATTGTCTGACAGACCTTCGCGAAGGGCTTAATATTTTTGCTAATAAACTGTTCACGAGGGTTTCGTTCTGTTCGTTTTCTGGTTCGTCGTCAATTGTCATCGGCTGCCTCACTTTCTTGGTCGCTTTCGTCCTCTTCAAAGCAAGTCGCCGGGGCAATCAGCGTTAATATTTGCTGTCTTTCGAAGACCTTCCAAGAGCTTCAACATTTGCCAACGTTGTTGCTTCACAAACTGGGCAATCGCTGATGTTGGGCAGGATGCATTCGATGTGGAACGTATGTCCACAACCACGGAAAACGTTCCAAACGTTCCAACCTTTTCGCAGGCAGGCAAATCGCAGGTAAGATTTATATTTTATATTTACAGATCTTGATACATTTACAGTCAGCGTCCTTGGTGATTGTTCCAAAATATGAGTGTGTGCCAAAGTTAAAATATTACTCATAATCTCCAGAACATGTGTGGACAATGTTTTGAATCACTGCAGTTTAGAATTAGCAGTCGTTTTAAAGACAACAGAACTGGCAGCCATGGCACCCCATAACTATTCAGTGTACAAATACCAGACAATGTAAATTACCACCTCCCCCAACCCAGAAGTAGGCAGTTTTTATTTCCCAGCACTGCATAATCAAAATTGCTGGATTGTATAAATGTCTGGCTTTGTCTCAGTGGCCCTGCTTTGCCCCATGAACCCCACACTTCCTAGATTCAAGCAAGCGGGGACTTATATTGACTGGTACTTAGGTCCTGTTTATATGGAAGCCGGGCTGGCCCGCTAAGTGAGACAGCCCGGTAAGCTGTGCATTTATTGGACAAGTGGGCTGGCCAGTTTGCTGAGATCTCACTTGAAAAGAGGTCAGATCTCACTTGACAAGAGGTGAGATCTCGCTTACCGGGGTGGAAATTTCTCCATATAAACACTCACAAGCGGACTAGCCCGGTTGCTGGGATGAAAGATACCACCGCAAGCTATTTTGAACAACTGTCAAAACCAGCAAGCGGGATGAAATTTTCTCATATGAACACAAGAGAAATTCATCCCGCCTGCCTATCACGCTAAGAGGGCCAGCCCGGCTTCCTGCATATAAACAGGCCCTTAGTTGAATTGCAGCACTTGGTCTGCCTGTGTGTTACTTTTAAGTGTACCCTGGTTCTTTGCAAGGTAAAAGAAACAAGAGGTGAGAATGGAAAGCCTCTGATCATATCAATTGCAAATCCCACTTCCACACTTGAATAGGTTCAGAATTTGAATCTTGCATGTGATTGGCCATTTGTAAAAATATGTCAAACCTGTTTGGGAAATAAACACTACTGTGAGCTAATTATAGCTATCTATCTATTTAGCATGCCAAATAGGGCCGGGTCACCACAACAGCATATATGCCAATTACTGTGAGCCCTTTTTACCCAACCCACCCTGTCAACTTTCCATGTGGGAGGAAACTGGAGTACCCGGGGAAAACCTGTGACATTCGGCAGAGCGTTGCGGTTTATTCTTTTCACATGAGGACTGAGTTTGAGTCGCATTGAGAAAGTTCTCACTGACTTGAAACTGCGGCCTCAGAGGTGACAAAGTGCGCTAACCACTTGGCCACCGAAGCCCCAATTAAAAAGCCCCAAGCTATTATAGTAAACTCAACCAAGCATGAATATTAATACTCCCGCAGGTGAAAAGGTATTAAATTTCTCAGGAGATAAACATATCAACATTAATCAGTTTTGCAGGACATGTAATACATTCTTGGTTGAGTTTAATAGAATATTTTAATACAGGCTATAATTAGCTTACAGTAATGTTTATTTCCCAAGCCAGTTTGGCATATTTTTACAAATGGGCAATCACATGCAAAATTCAAATGCTGAACCTAATCAAGTGTGGAAGTGGGATTCGCAATGGACAGTGACCCTGGGCTGTACACAGCACAGGGGAGGGGGCGGCAGGAGGGGGAAACTGCCCTCCTAAAGAAAACTATATTTACAATTTTTAGAATGTCATTATTAATTATTCTTTGGATATTTGGAACTTTTTTCAACATATAAGCCTTACTGCCCCCCTGGTGATACGGCCCTGATGTGACCAGAGGCTCTCCGTTCTCGCATCTTGTTTCTTTCGCCTCGCAAAGAGCCTCTGGAACCAGAGTACACTTAAAGTAACACACACACACAGAGCAAATAATATAATGCTTTTAAGGCAGTGAATTGGTAGGGAAATCTTTCAATAATATCCTCTGATTATGGTAAACTATGTACCAATACCAGACAATATAAATCCCTGCCTGCTCAAATCCCGAAGTATGGGGCAAAGCAGGGTCACTGAGACAAAACCAGATATTTACACACAGATATTTACAGATAGTGACAGTGCTGAGAAGTAAAAACTGCCTACTTCTGGGTTGGGGGAGGTAGTAATTAATTACATTGACTGGTATTGTACACTAAATAGTTATGGGGTGCCATGGCTGCCAGTTCTGTTGTCTTTAAAAGAGTTAAAGGACTGCTAATTCTAAACTGCAGTGATTCAAAACATTCAAACATGTTCTAGAGATTATGAGTAATATTTTAACTTTGATACACACTCATATTTTGGAACAATTTCCAAGGACGTACTGACTATAAATGTATCAAGATCTGCAAATATAAAATATAAATCTTACTTTAAAATTTCCATCGATTTGCGATTTGCCTGCCTGCAAAAGGGTTAATCCACTTGGAACGTTTTCCGTGGTTGTGGACCTTCGTTCCACATCAAATGCATCCTGCCCAACATCAGCGATAGCCCTGTTTGTAAAGCAACGTTGAAGCTCTTGGAAAGACAGCAAATACTAACGCTGTTTGCTCCGGCGACTTGCTTTGAAGAGGACGAAAGCGACCAAGAAGTGAGGCAGCCGATGACGATTGACGACGAACTAGAAGACGAACAGAACGAAACCCTCGTGAACAGTTTATTAGCAAAAATATTAAGCCCTTCGCGAAGGTCTGTCAGACAATCGCCATTTTGCCAACCGGATATG